TCACTCAGCCGTATTCTCCATTACTCAATTCATAGTTCAGTTCTGTCCTTCACATTGTTTTCAGACGTCATGACATTCTTGTTTTGTCTGTCAAATTGTCTAAAACCTAAAACAGAGGAAAAACAGCACATCATCATACTGGAAAAGAAGGAATATACATTTTTTTTTGCTATTATTAACTTTAAAAAATGACTTAAAATAATAATCCAAACTGTTGCAGGTTGTTTTTTTGTCAATAATCCAAAAATGAATTGACTGACCAGTTGCTGCAGCCCTAGATATTGATAATCCTTTTCAGCCGATGTTCCTTTCTTCCTTTTTGGAACCACTGATCTTTAGGTGTGGCTATTTTTGATTTAGGCCATCTGATTGGAATGAGCGAAATGAAAATCTTCTGTTGAAGTGGTTGTCTTTTTTTTTGTGTGCAATATTGATATATAATGTGGTTATAGTTATGTTTCCAGAGCCTCATGTGATATGGTTTTATTACCAGACAGATCTATTGAAATTTCTTTCTAAAAAACTATGCTAACAATTATGCAATAATCAATTAAAGTGTTGACTTAATGTAATATAATACACCCAGAGATTTACAATGAAAGTAATTCATATCATGTACTATTAATCAAAACACCCACAGACAAATGTGTACCCTCTAATTTTAATGTCATTATATCATCCTATACACAACAACCTTATTGTGTTGATTTCAAATAACAATCATCAACATCTTCCAAATGTTTTAGTCATGTGAGTTGTTTCTATTCCATGAACTGTACGTAGGTTTGTTGCCCACTTGTGTAGGCAAGTGGACAGTTTGAATAATCACACAGTCCCACTCAATCCGACACAAGGCTGCAGTGAAACACACAACATTTTGAGGTAGTTAAAATATCTGCAGTTATTGCAGCATTTGTTTATATTTTGCTCTGTTTTTATCTCAGTTGCCACTTTTGTTCCGGTAAGGAGAGTGTTTTCTTTTTTAAAGTTCATGATTATGACACATCTGCACAGTCATGGTCAGAGTGGTGGTTCATTTCCCTGCATCATGGCTGTTGTTGTTTGGGGTTAATACGATATCATGTCTTAATGATAATGTTGGAATGTCATCAAGTTATCTCAATGGAAAATACTATTATATAAAGGGAGGTGGAGATTCACATATACACATCATTGTAGCTTTTCCAATGCTTCTCTCTTCTCCTCTATTTCCCTCCAAGAAATATACTGCACCAGTTTGGAAGTGGCACCAGTGCCATTGCTATACTCTGTTGTATTTAGTCTCATTGTTTTAAGCCCTAATGAAAAAGCTTTAATTGTTAGATAGACTTTAAAGCTTCAGATTGCCTAGTGATGAGACACTTTTTGCGAAATATCTCAGTTTACAACCTTTTACTATTTTGTTCTGTGAAACTTTGATGATTTCTCTGTGGGAAAATAGTTCTTCAGTGCACAGAGAGAACAAGTCTTGGTGGCTGGTGCTGTTCTACTGCAGCAACTGAGCCTTTTCACAGAAAGTAAATCCACTACTTGTGCATGAAAGACTCAGAATAGACAACTGAACCAAAATAGCCTGTAAACACCTCTCTTTCCTCTCTCTCGCTCTTCATTCCTTCACCCAGTTCTTTCAGTCCTCTCCTGTGCTCCCTCTCCCTCTTTTTGTCCTTGTTATTCTTCTCTCTTTCTCTCTCTCAGACCTTCCTCTTGTGGCCTTTGGTTGTTTTTTTCCTTTGAATCTTTTTGGTTGTCATCTTATTAGCAGAGAGAAGTGATTATGCAGTGTAAAAGAAGCAGCACTGTTAGGCCACGCAAGAGACGAGCCATTCAGACAGCTTCCTGCCTCTGTCTATCTGCATCACCCCCCCAACAAGGAAATCCCATGTTTACCCCCCTTATTTCTTGGCCCTAATGTCTTAAGTGCAATCAGAACACATCCCTGGACGTTTTGCTGGAAGCTCAACATATGACAAGGCCACTGATCTATTTGAACAAGCGGAGGTCTGAGCTGGAAAACAACTACAAAACCTCTTGCTCTAGTTTAGCTAAGCTCTGCAAATAGAAGTGATCACACTGTGTGAAATAAACACAAGTTTCTTACTATGTTTGAATCCGATGCAAACACATTTCAAGGGCAATTTACTGAAACACACAAAAAATCTCAGTGTTTTTACCCTAATGATGAGATGATGACTTTCCATTGAAATCTATTTTATAAAAACAGATTTCTCTGTGGTTACAGCTCTGCACATAGTTAGTCAGCAACTTACTCATTCTTGTTACCTCCAGCAAAGATGTTGTGTTTTCATCAGTGTTTGTCTGTCAGTTAGTAGCATTTCACAAAAACTACTGGACGGCTTTCCATTAAACCTGATTGAAGGATGTGCTGTTTTTTGATATTTTCTCCAGTTTCCCAGGGATTAATTGATCGATCGTTATTGGGAAAAAAAAAAAATCATAAGTCTGTGCATTTTGGTTCAGCTTGATTGAATTCAAGGGGCGGTTGGGCCTTGGTGGATGTAAGAGCTCGAACAAGTGCCATTCGAGTTATATGGTGAATGAAACATATTGTAAGCACGTTTGTTTGAACAGCACATTTCTACAACAAGGGAATTCAAATTTACACAATATATAAATGTCATCATAACAAATTGTCAAGTCAACAGAGGACGATACAAAAATTAAGTATTTCAAAAAATTAAAAAGTGGAGTTACACAGAGAGTTAAAAATAGATATATAAAATAAGAAATAAATTAACACTGCATGTTATGGAAATAATTATTTGATTGCAGAGTTATCTGTCATCAAATCTAAGGTGTTGGACATTCCTGCAGTAGGACTCTTAATGCTTTTAATGAATTTGCAAACTCGTTATTGGAAAGTGAGACGTTTCTAAGCTCTGTCGATCTCTGAGTATTGCACACCAGCTGCTAGCCGCTGTTCCATAGAACAGTGAATCCTATTTGCATAACTATTAATTCTACAAGCTGTTGCTCTTGTTCATAAACATATAGAAAATGAACCTATTCATGTAAAGCACTAAAATGAGGATCAACTGCTGCATTCAGTTGCAGTATTACTGGAGCCTGAATGTGTTATTTTTAATTTGCAGTAATGTTGGAGTAACGTTTTGATTCAGGGGTCAAAATGACAGGTTTTGGTTCCTGTATGTGACTGACGAGAACACTATGAACACGGCTGCATGGAAAATCAAGAAGCAAATTGTTCCATGCTCATAAAGCATCATCCAGCTAAAATGTTCTACATTAAAATGTTTGAAGAAAAGTACGAGCACCTCCTTAAGCATGAAAAAAACTTGAATCTGAGTAAAGGTTGAGGAGATTCTGTAGCTGAGCTGTAGCCTTTAACTTTCCCTAGCATTTCTTCTTCTGCAGCTTTTAATACGTTTGTCTCACCCTGTCTTTGCCTCATTTTCTTGCTCTTCTCCATGTGCTTCCCTCATTCACTTTCTCCCAGAGAGAACGTTACCTTAAAAGTTATTTTATTTTTAGATGGAACAGGGTCAAACAGAGCAGAGGACTGTGAGAGTTGGTTCAAGCTGAACCCTGAACCACTGTCTTGCTCGGTCTTTCAGAATAAAGACATGTTGTATATGTTAAAAGAAGAGCAACATGTTAATACAGTGAAATGTGTAAAACTCAACAGGGTTTCAATGAGAGTGTGGTTGGAAAGGAAGGGATGAGACTACAGCTGAGAAGGCTCTGTTATAAAACAGTTGTTTCATTCAAATAAGCATTGTGAAAACCTCTGCTTTTCTGGAACATTGAAAGAGGAGAGGGAAAACAATTTCTCGTGACAGAAGCATTACCTCACCATAACCTTATTCATCCCTCTCCCCCTCTCCATCCCTCTGGCTGACTCGTCATTTCTTTCGTTTTATTCCCAGTGTGAACAATGATATCTTTTATTTTGGGATAACAGCAGGATGACGTGAATAATCTTCTTTTCCATGATGGACTTCCAGTGTCTGTTCCCAGTTTAGTGTCTTGATACTCACTCTACCAACTTTCCAGTTCATTTGTCTCACTGTCTTTAAATACTCCGACAGGCACAATATTGTATAACAAACTTTCCTGGCCCCTTCTCATTTTCCAGTGGTGGGCACAGATTTTCTGGTGTGGAGCTCCTGCTGCTGACTGAATGCAGAGGAAAAACTGAAAGCTGATCTCCAGACCTCCCTGCAGCTTCAGGGGAGATTGTCAGATGTGTACCCAACACTCTAAGCCCCTGGCCTGGCCGAGGGGATGGCAGCCTCTGCCCTGAACCTGAACGGCCTGGGAGTCATGAACAGGTCAGTTGCTGTTTTTAGTTGGGGAAATGCTTTAAATATAATTGCTTCTTATGGTCGGACTGGTCTTTACTTTTAATGCATTACATAGTGATTAACAAAGCTTTGTTGATTCACTTATAAGGATGCATAAAATGTTGTCGTCTTTTATCTGCAATCCAAGCTTTGACGCAAGTTTATCATAATCAAATTACATATGGCCCATGTGATTCATTTTCAGTCCTATTGCTTAGACATGGTCTTTTATAATAGGGCATTCATATTCTTACATTTTCTATATAACTTACTTATTATTTGTGTATTTTTTCCTCTCCTCTTTTCAGCAGTAATCAGTTTCACACCCAGTCAGGCTCCTCTAGTACCACCTCGCGAACTAGTCCCGTCGCCCGACCGGTGCTGCCGGTTCCAGATCGGAGCACCTACTGCCAGTTACTGGGTGGGGGTCTCTACAGCCCTACCAGCCCCAAGGTATCTTAATCTCCTTATCCTTAATTACCAAATCTAACCATTAAATGTTCTCCAGTTGTTCGTCATCTGTGCTAAAGTAAAATAAACATATGTCATTAAAATTTGTAATACTAAAACTACAGTAAGTGGTTGAGGTTTCTTTTTAAGGGGTTAGAAAAATATCTAGCTTAGTGTGAAACACAGGCCAACCTTTATAATTTCGAAATATTTTTTTTCTATCCATGCAATTTCAATATTTCAAAATCATATATGTGCCATATAGTCACACCCTGTATTTTTTGTTTACATTGTACATTTCCAGTTAATATGAATGAATCATTTTTTTCTTGTCTGTCTGCTAGACGAGCCCCCCACCCTTCAGTCAAACCTTTGCCTTTCCCACTTCATCCTCGCTCTGCCCTAGCCCCTCCCCTCGTGCTCGCTCACCCTCCCCGCGGAGTCCGGAGCTTCTGGGAGTCAATGTGGGCCAGCGGGTCCGGCGCCTGAGCTCACCCAGCGGTGAGGAGAGCGGTGAAGGAGACGGGCTGGACGAGAGGGGAGGAGAGACGGGAGAGGGGGGCAGGCGAGAGGAGAGGAGACGCCAGGCGCAGCTGCTGCAAATCAGCAGAGAGCTGCAGAACGTTGAGGTTCGTCTACACATCTGTATTTTCTCTACTCCTCTTTGTCTGTCTTAATCTCTCTATCATCAGGCTTTATCTAAAAATACAGTCACTGAGCAAACTCCCAGGGATTTCCTTCTTTTTCTCAATTTGCTGGGCAAGTCAGAACGGCAACTCTCACCCAGCTCACATGTGATGATCCCAAAACACAACTGTCAGTCAAGCTTTAAAAGCTGAGCAGAACAGAAGTTCAGGGTAAACCAGAGTTCATCTTCAGTTAAATTCATACTCGGCTGTGTCTTTCACTGCAGGTTTGAATGTATGCAGCTAGAAGTAATTTGAGGTTAAACTATCATGCAAACTCTAGAAATCTTGTAATCAAGTTCATATGACTTTATTATGAGGCCTGGATTGTTTGAAACTTTGTCAAGTTAATAATATGCAATGATTATGAAAATTTGTTTTTTAGGTTTAGTATTGACTCGGATAATTTTGGGTTTAAATTTCATGTACAGCATTGAAATATTGTATTATCGTAACTAGTGCAGTGGCTGTTCTAAACCTGCCTGTTTGGAATGGGCTGTTTGCTTGGCCTATGGTGATGCTGGTTGCAGCTTTCATTATGAGACTGTAAAAGTGACCTGCAGTAATTCAGCCACAGCAAGTAAAGACCGGCAGCAGGACTGAGTCCACAGAACCCTGAAGCTGCACCCACACTGCTGCACAAAGAGCTGTTCAACTTTTTTCTCAAAGTTCAGTGAAGCTCAACTCAATTCAGAACCCCGAACTGGAGAATCAGTCGTTGTTTCCATTGTCATGAATGCACCCGTGTCACGAACATACTGATGTCACTTATGGTAGTGAGTCGAGGAGCTGCTGCAACATAGCGCTGGTTGTCTGTTTATCCAAAGTTTATTAATATTGAAGGTATTATTTTTTTAATTTAAAAATTATATTTATTAATTGCAAATTGCACCAAATTGGACACTTCTTTTCTTAGTCCTTTGATATTAGACATGCCATGTGTGAAGTTGATAAGAGGAACTGTTCTTGAGATACATTTAGTACATTAAAGTTTGGGTTAATTGAATTAATTTTAGTTTCATATTTGAATATTTTTTGTGTTGAGCTGAAAGCCAACTGACTTTACTTTCTGTAAAACTGCAGACAGTCACACGCAGAGTTTGTGTCTTGCCAACTGTTCTTTTTTTCAAAACAGTATTGCCAAACAAGGGAAAACGCCAGAAACAGCAGCTGTGTCTCTACAATAATTCTCTATGTGTCTTTCAGGTCAGGGGAAAAGTTGGCATTTTCGAGGCCCACATTTCCGGGATTCGTGCCCAGGTGCTTAATAGCGAGCTCCAGCGCAGCCCTCGATCTCCGAGACGATCAACATCACATCCCGGCCAAGGGAACACAGCTCTTACATGCCCAATGACCCAGCCGCAAGAGAGTCAAGTTCCCTGTGTTGTCCAAAATGGTAGAGAAAAGGGAGAAGAAGTAATGGCAGGAGAAAGGAGAGAAGGAGGAAGGAACGACAGCAGTGATACACAAATGAACGCTGAGAATAAGACGCTGATTGGTCAAAATGGCCGCCATTCAGAAACAGTGATGCAAACTCCTTGTTCAGATGGGTCGTTTGTTGTTCAGGGTTCCCTTGAGGCTTGCGACCCAAATGCAAAAACAGACAGAGAGAAACAGGAGGGAGAAATTCTGGGACCAAGTGAGGGAGAAAAAGACAGAAGGGAGGGAGAAAACAAACAAATTCTGGATGTTGAAAGAGAACGGACAGAGGAAGAGGTGAGAGATGAGAAAGAGAACTGGTTGTGTCCCGAGATGCTCCAGACAGAGGCAAACAGGCCGGAGGTTAACCCTGAAACCGCTGCTTTGTGTCAGGCACGAAGCAGTGAGCGCTCCCCTTGTTTGGACATCCCCAATCAGACCTCCAACCACTTTCTCTCCATCCCACCATCCATCCCTGCAGTCATAATAACTGACCATGGCTTGGAGAGCCAGCTTCAAACTTCTGAAGGCCCAGGCTCAGACCAGGGAATATGCTGCACCCCTAGTCCCGGTTCCAGCCCTGTCCCTGGGCCAAACTTCTCCACACGCTCCCTCAGGAAGCTTTCGTCCTCCTCTGCCTCATCAGCCGGTTTCTCCTCATCTTGGGAGGAGTCGGAGGAGGATATTTCCAGTGATACAGAGAAAGGGGAGCAGCTTCTCAACCCTGCAGTCCTCAGTTCTCAACAGAAAGCAGTAAGTAGAGTGTGTCTGTTAGTGTGTTTGAATGGCAGTGAATATTTTGCACATGGAAATTCAAGTAGATTAATTATCTGTAAAAGTTAAGGGATATACTTTAAGGTTTTCACACGAACAACTTGGCTCTAGGAAGGTCTGTTAGTTTTTCGGTCGACCACTTTGATCCAAACTGAAATATCGTGAGATGGATTATCACGAAATTTAGTCCAGACATTCATAGTCCCCAGAGGATACAGCTTTCAGCTATCACCTAGAGCGGCCAGTAGACCAGACTTTTACCCATCTCTTTTGTCCCTGTGCCCGGGAGAAGTAACATCATACAATGTAGATATCTGTAGTTTCTCACCAACTCTCAAGTCTCCTCCTAAAATTTAAAAATATAGAAACTGCAGGATAGTGATCGGTGAAGATCTTGGAAAAGGTTTGTCTTGACATAGCTCTCTGTTATCAATTACACCTCAGAATGTGTGTCTGGCAGTGTGTATATATGAGTCGTGTGTTTGAATCTGCCCGTGCATGTTGGCGGGTGCTCCTGTGTCAAATTGGCCTGAGCTCTCTCTCCCTGAGTGAGGGTTGACATTCACAGTAACAAAGCTTGCTCTGTGCCCTGACCTGTGTGTGTGTATGTAGGTGTGTTGTTTTTTTTTTTGCAATGTGTGGGTAATGGTAGTGTGTGTGTGTGTGAGAGAGAGACCGCGGGTGATAGAAAAATGGAAAGCAAGAGAATTTGCCAGTCACACACACTTAGGCTTTGCCTGCATTTGGATGCAGTTCAAAGAGGAGGCTGAGACCTCTGTGTGTGTGTGTGTGTGTGTGTGTGTGTGTGTGTGTGTGTGTGTGTGTGTGTGTGTGTGTATTTTTATTTGTAGCCAGCTTAAGTCCACGAGGCCATCTCACTTCTGCTTTGAAACATTAGATTTAATGCAGGATTGTATAACTGATTTTTAAAAGTTTTTCTGAACATTGTGTAAGTCCCAAAAGTGTCCTTCTTTTTTTTCCCATGACTTCTTGCTACAGGAAGCGTTTCTTCCTGGAATTTAAGTGTTTGCACTGTATAATTCCAGTCCGCATGAATATTGTATGAGCTTAAAACACATTTAGATACACGCCCAATTATCAACACAGCATATTTGGAGATATGGCAAGTATTACATTTTCAAATTTTCTTATAAGCAGCAGCAAAGAAGACAGAAATAAGTGGAAGACATAGCAAGTCAATGTGCTCAAGATTAATTTGTTGATGGATGCAGTTTTCTTGCATCTTTATTCGAATGATTCGTCCCTGAATCTAAGTCTCAGCTCTCCCTTGGGACACAGATGACAGACGATTTGTTTAAATTGCTTTGGCTGGTGAATTTGAATAGTGTTTGTGTCACTCTTTGCATATTTCCACAATTCTTTTTCTTCACTTTATGCAGGAGATAGAAGCTCCTGATGGAAGCTGCAGCTGACAGGACAGGGTTTATAGTGAAAGCCTGGTTGAGCCACATCACAGCACATAGATGTCAAACATGTTAGTTATTCATGTTCTTGTCTGTAGCTTGTCACAGTTCCTGATCCGTGTAGTTTAAGGAAGCCTGTGGTGTGTGTATGTTTGTGTGTGTGTGTGTGCAAGAGGCAAACATGCAGAAACACATAAAGCATGCTCGCTCGTGTGGGAGGTATGTAGGAGAAGAGAAGAGGGAGAAGAGGATTGATACTGAGAGACATAGACAGAGAGAATAGAGTGTGAGGGAAAGAAAGAGCAGGGAAATGTTCGATATATACTGCAGCCATGTTGTCTTAATTATGACATACAGGAGACAAGTCTTCTCATGGCTTTTATCACAGGAGAAACTCAATTAAATCAATTAAATATGATTTGTCATTCTGTCAGACATTTAAAGATATCATTTGTAACAATTCTTCATTAAAATGTCTAAAGACAACTCGACCTATGTTTTATATTGTGTTGACTTGTGTACTTGCATTATCAAAATATTAAAACCCAGACAAATCAGCAATTTCATTCAAGGTAACGGGACGTTTCATTTGTTTTTTAACAGCATCAGATCCTGGTTACCCGTGACTTTGTCCATCTTTGCTGGAACCTTCAGGGCAAATGTTCTATGACGAAGCAGAAACATGCTGCTATAAAGTTAGCCAGTTAGCTGCTTTTTCCTTCCATCCTTTCAATTGGTCATGATTAACCATTGACGTTTGCTGTGTAACGTGATTAAAATACATGATCTCTTCCATGAACATTATTTGCACCAGGTCGTTTCATGATGTCATCAAATTAGGTCTTTTGTAATTGTTTAGATTGAGAGACCCCTAGTAGCCGATATTGTACATGTAAAGATAAAAATAAATAAACTTAAGTTGCTTAAGTTTAGCTCTTGTGCTGCTACTCAGACACTGAAAAATAAAAAAAGGTATAAACCCAGAGCTTCCTGCAGAATACATTCATCGTACTCAAAGGTTTAGAGTTTGTATCTAACAGTTCAATGTGGATGCATTTGGCTGACTTCACCATTCACAGTAATGCTCCTCTGTCACAGTCAAACACTGAGGCTTTGTTATGGTCATGAGTATGGGATTAAATCAACTAGTTCTTTTTCAGAAGTGTTCTTGTTTAACTGGTGGAGGCTGGGACCAGAACACCGCCAAATATAGACAGTAACTGGCTGATCTTTTGACTGTTGGGCATCTCTCCAAGGTTAGAAGACACATATGTGCTGTAAATTTCTTGCAGAAGGGCACCTGCAACAGATTGGCATCTGTGTTTTTCTTTTTCCCCTCTAAAATTTCAGTTGACATTCGTGGAATGATAAGAACCTGCCGGTCGCAGAGTTCTGTCTTCAGTGAGGTGATACTCAGCTGTTTGCTTCTCTGTTAAATTTTGCTTAAAGCCTCCACACCCACACTCACGCATCTGACAAAAATGCAAAACTCTCAGCTATATTATCAACTATTGTGATATAATAGGAACATTTAACAGCTGTAGGATTTAAGACAGTTAAGAAAGTCTGACAATTCAAATGACTAAAAAAAACTTTTATCAAAACATCTGTCTGGCTGAGGAGCATTAGAATAACAGTTTATATGATGAACTTGACAAACAATAAGAATAATTATGGGATATTTAGACACATCTTTAACTTGTTACCCTTGACCTTGACCTAGTACACACATACGTTCTTGCTACAATATTTTAATAACTTAAAACTTACTGAGTGCTATTCTGCGTATGCAAGTAATTAATATATCCTGTAGTAGCTGTGGCTTTTTTTAAACAGAGACAAAGCTCAGAAAACTCCAGCATCATGTTTCAGCTTTCAGGCGAAGGTGGGGCAGGACTTATGACGATGGTTCTATAAATGATGCAGGAGGTTTGTTGTTACTCACTGCGTCTTTACTGTAAGTAAAGCCTGTGATGCATTACAGCGTTGGACACATTTCAGTGAAACTCCTTTCCAGGAAAGGATTCACCCATTGAATAAACTGTTCCCTTATATTAAACTGATGCGCCTTTTGGAATGAATACTACACTCATTCTTCAGAAAACACACACACGCTGATACTGACACACCCTCTGTACACGCCACCGTACAACTTTGGCTTGTTGCACTCTGCAGAACAGCATAGGTAATAGTCTTCACACAAAACTGACACACAACACTGTACACACAGAGGCGTATTTTTACTCACAAACACAGCTAAGTACTCACAGCCCTTTTTGTGATCTGACCCATACATCACTATTCCAGTTTCATCGTCCGCTTATCTCTGAAAACTCTGAATCTGACTTCATTTCCAGCACCAGATGAAACGTTTTTTTTGTGGTGGACAATTCATTACTGTAGCCCAAGTGGGTCAGCACAAAATATCACAGACACACATACTGAGACACACACACACACACACACTGTACTGCAGTGGAAAATCTTCACTACCATGGCGGCTAGTTGCCTGGCAACCGTGTGACGTCAAACCCGAGTTTCCCTCTCACAGCTGTATGTGTGTGTGTGACTGAAAGTCTGCAAGTTTATAGGTGTGTGTCTAATTCGTGTGTGTGCGTGTGCGTGTGTGTGTG